CAGCCGGGACAGGTGCCAGACATCCCAGTGGAGAAGGCAGGGGAAGTCGCGCGCCTCTGTGCGGAGTGCGGGGGCAAGAAGGGAGAGGGGCACCGTCGCAGTATCGCAGCGGCAAGAGTTCCCCGTGTCCAGCCTGTGCTTCCCTTCTCGCAGCGTCTTCAGCAAGCAGAGGTGAGAGTCACCACAGCCGAGAAGCGTCTCGATCACGAAGATAACAAGTACCTCAAGTGGATTACAAACATCGAGGACCAAGCCAAGCTCGTGTCGGATCTCTAGTCAAAAACTCCAGGAGGCAGCCGCACGTCTGCAATCCACACTCGCGGATGTGCAGCCAGAGGAGTCGCAGCCAGTGTTTTCCCAAGCTGGCAACAGCGAGCTTCGTGCGTTGGTAGATGGGTCCATTGATATGTCTGATTTCTTCGACGTGTCAACATTCCTGGGTGAGGATCACAGCAAGTATGAGTTTTTGCCCGGGGGGAGGCAGAGTTCGTCAAGCGTCAGGCAGAATTGGCTAATCTCTTCAAGCCGAATTCACGTGAGCCTTATTGTTGTTGCGAGGATTTGGCCCAATCTGAAGATCTTCGTAAGCAGCATGCTGGGAAGGTCAAGAGCGTAAGGGCAACAGTGGCAGCCCAGCAGTATTAGCAGCCGCAGCCGCTCAGACAACGGGGGCTGGAGCGTCCAGGTCAGGCAGCAGTCAAGCGGCAGCGGTTAAGCATGAAAAGGAGAGCCTCAAGTCATCAACCGAGACGCTGCAGGGCAGCCTTCAGATGGGTACTACGTTGGTTGCTCGTCTGGACGCTAGGGCTCGTCGTCAAGAGCCTTTGGTTAACCAGGTCGTGCGAGATGGAAGTGATGAGTTGAGTACAGTTATGGTTTCAAGGGATGAAGTTGACAGAGGTGATTTTCAGCTACTGCGTCCACTGGCCGCGGAGGCCTGTAACCCCCCTAGCCCATGGACCCGATGGTTGCAAGCCCGTGGGCCCGACGGTTGCAAGCAGCCTAGGGCACCGCTAAGGGGCAGTTGGGGAGCCGTGCTGGACGTGGCCAGGTCTTCCGCGGCCCACGTCGGTCGGTGTCAAGTGCAGGCTGCCGAGGCTCGTGATTTCCTGTCTGTCTGGGCCCGACGGGCGCCAACAGCCTGCGGCATCTTCAGGGGACAGTTGAGAGGCTGTGATGTGTGTGTGTGTGTGTGATGTGTGTGTGTGTGTGATGAGTGTGTGTGTGTGTGTGTGTGTGTGGCCAGGTCTTCATTGGCATACCTCGTTGGTGGTATTCCGTCGCCTGCGGAGGCCTGCGACCCCCTGGCCCCTGGACCCGGAGCCAGCAGCCAGGGGTGCCGTCGGGGGACAGATGGGAGGCTGAGACAGGCGTGGCCATTTCTTCTGCGGCCCATCTTCATCGGTGTCAAGCGCAGGCTGCGGCAGCCTGCGGCCCCCTGGCCCCTGGGCCCGACGGGCACAAGCAGCCTGGGGCTCCGTCTGGGGACAGTCGGGAGGCGACGATTGGCGCGGTCAGGCTTTCCGTCGCACGTCAAGGTCAGTGCCGTGGACTTGATGATGTGGAACTGGACCCCTTTGCTGATCAGGAGGAGTATTAGAGTTTCGAGCCGATGCAGGGACCCGTTTCGCAGCCTTCATTTGTTAGTGGCCAAGTTGCGAAAGAGGTCGCTGCAGTCCCTGTGTCTGCTGCGGATGACCGTGCAGTGGGAGTTGGTCAGCTCAGTTTCGGTTTGCCAGATTGTTCTCAAGCTTACATGCTTGATCAGGACTCACAGAGAAGAGGTGCCGTGCAGTTTCGTCCAGTCGGTGGAGATCGCAGGCAAGACATTAAGATCAAGGAACACTTGTCCGTCGTCAAGGTACAGCCCGGTCATCTCCTTTGATGCTGTTTGCCAGCGTCACGGCGTGGGTGCCCCAGTCGCATCGCTACCCTGTCAGCCAGGAGAGGTTCAATGTGTTCATGTTCGATGAAAGCCACCTCCCCCCTGAATCGCGACGAGGAGGTGCGCGAGCAGGTGGCGAATGACAAATGGCGCATGATCAGCTTGCCTGCTGGTCCATCGTGCCGTCGGTCTCGGGCCTCGCGCCCGTCGTCGTGCGCGAGCTTCCCTCTCCAGCGTCCGCGCGGGGGTCCCTCCTCTCCGGCGCTGCGGCGCCCAGCTGCGCGGCCTCGTGCGAGGCGCCCGCTTCTATCTGCGCGGGGCGCTCTCTCTCTCTGCGCAGAAGGCTCCGTCCAGGCGCCCCCGCAGAGGATGGCGCTGTGCGTGTGCGATCCCGTGTCAGCTTCGCTCTCGGCTGGGCCTCCTGGGGGCTCCCTGAACGCTGGGCCTCTTGGGGGCCTCTTGGGGGCACTTCTCTTGCCCTGCGGAGGCCGTCCTCTGGGCCTCCTTGGGCCGCCTTGGGGCGCTGGGGAGCTCTGGGGCCGTGGAGAGCCCTCCGCCCCTTTGCGCGCGAGGCGCCGCGCGGCGCGGCGCCGCGCGCCGGTGGCCTCCGGCCAG